CCTCCATATACACATCTTCATCCACCCTCCATATACACATCTTCATCCATCCTCCATATACACATGTCCATCCATTCATGCACATACACATCTCTGTCCATTCATCAATTCATCCATATACACATTCATAACACACATGTACATACCTACATGCTCATGTCCATAATGCATTTATCGTAACATACATCTCCACACATCCATACATGCACTCATTCATACATTCACACATTCATAAGACACATCTTCATACATGCACACATCCATACATATATCCACATACATACACATACACAAATACATACTACATGTATCTTCCTACATATTTATAACCATACACACATATGTGTGTATATATATGTGCATCCACCAAGATACACACATGTCCACAATACACCTCCATGCATGCCCATTTATATATATGCTATATATATCCATTCCTCATGTATATCAAAACATGTCCCTGTGCAAACTCTTATACACTTGTGCACACACAAGTGTAGAGCCATACAGAGATAGGATAGGTGTGATCTCGTGTCACCAATGAGGGGTCCCTGACTTTTCCTAGACCCCCAAATGCTCCACTGCAGTGGTAGGACTGAGTCTAGGCTGGCTCCAACTTCAGTCCCCAGAGAGTCATCAGGGAGGACCCAAAGCCACGCACTCTGGAGCCAGATGAGCAAGGGCCTTTCAGATTTGAAGTCTCCCTGAAAAGAACAGTTCGGGGCAGTGGGGTTGCGGAGTAGAAGGCTCACCTCTGTCCAGGGTCGCATCAGCCTGACGGACGAGAGTTTGCTTTGTTTGGGGTTGGATTCTCAACAGTGCACCTCATGTACAGCCTGCCACACTGGACACTGACACGAGAAGAGACAGCGACACCCACTGAACACCCCAGCCACTGGGGTCATGGTCACAGCAGACACCAGGGCTGACCCAGACCGGCTGATAAGCATCTGTGAACATTAGGGTCAAATGAACCGAGAAAAGTCAAAGCAAAACCCAACAAACCCACAGAACTTGACCTTTCATTCAGCGCTCGAGGGCCTCTGAGAAGACATCCAGGGAGTACACTTTGCACAAGCACTGTCTCGCTCCTGGGGATGGAGGTTCGGGTCAGCTGACAGGCA